ATACCGATTTAAACGTTAAAAAATTATAAAAAATTTAAACACTTACTATATTTTTAATGATCAATTAAAAAAATTATACAATTTTAAAAAATAATTTGTTATTAATGATCATTTTGTTTCAAGATAAAATTATTTATTTTATTTTTATTTTTTTGGTAAATAACAATAATATTATTAATTTAAGTACAATAGGTTTTTAATCCTTATAATCTAAGGTTTTTAAAACCGAATCGGTTATTGAACCATTTTCAAGTTTGATTTTTAGTTTGATTGGTTCAATCAATTAAACCAATGAACCGTCTGATCCAAACAACAAGGGAGAATCTGGTGAGAGGCAGATAATTATGTAATTTTATTAAAATTAAAGGTTAAAATCGGTATAAAAAAGGAATGGTGATGGTGAAATTGGAAAAAATAGAAAGAATATTGCATGAGAAATTGAACTGATGGTTTTTTCGGTTTTTTCGGTTTCACCAATTTTGATCGTTTTGACTGGTTTTGACCAATTTTAATTTCAAATGGTTTTTTATATAAACCGAACCATTTTTATTATCGATACTGATTCAATCGGTTCAACCGACCAATCCGGTCTGATTTTAGAAACCTTGTTATAATCCATCTCAAGATCTTGCGTTTTGTTTCCTGTTACATTCTATTATAAATTTGAATCACAAGTTTTATCCAAAATTTATTGTGTGTTAGTTACAGATTAAATATTTATCTTTTTCTAATAGGCCAAATCCCTAATTTGCACCTTCCATTTATTTCTTTTCCGCGGTTAACACCTTTCAAAATTTTTTCTCCCTATTAACACTTTCAATTTTTCAAAACTCGTGAAAAACCCAATATTTTAACGGGTCGTCACGGCACCGTTAATAACCGTTAAAAATTATAATACGTGGCATTAAACAGTAACATAATCCAATGTGGACTTTTTTTTTATGATATGGCATAATTAAACCATAATTAATTTTAATTTTTTCATTTTCTTCTTTCCCGCATCATCTTTACCATCTTCCTCTTCATCCTCCTGGGTTCCTCATGGAACCAGGAACCCAGAACTTTATGTCACATTTATTAATCCAATGTTGGACATTTTTTTATATGTATTATAATTAAATTATCATTAATTTTAATTTCTTCATTTTCTTCTTTCTCAGCATCATCTTCACTAGCATCATCTTCACCATCCTCGTCCTCATCCCCTTAGGTTCTGAGTTTTTCGTGGAACCTAATTTCACATGAATGCCTACCAAGCTAAAATAACAATTTGGAAACAATCTCCAAGCAAAAAAACTCACCTTGCTTTGCATAAAATTCAAATTGACAACCTATTCAGAAACAATCTCCAAGCAAAAAAACTCACATTTCCAACAAAAAAATTATTCCAAATTGCTTTGCATAAAATCGGAAGCTAAGATAAATACATTTAAAATAAAAAAATAAAAAAAAAGTTGGAACTGGGTTCCTCGCGCAGGAACCCAGAACTAGGTTTCGC